AGATCTTGTATGGCTGTAGCAAAGGCCAAACGTGACCTTGTGAGTCCTCAGTTGTTTTTCTATATTTCTTTCATTGAGGAGTACACTCTATTACGTACATTTCACAGCTTCGACAACAACTTTCGGATGATTCATGTTTGAAAGGCGAATTTTATCGTGCGGCCAAAGAGCAAGCACGTAAATTTCCAGGCAGAAGAGGGGTAGGCTCGTTCACGTGCTCGCTTTGAACAGTAAAAGCTTTTTGTAGGTCACTCAGAACCACGAAAATCTAACTCCTGAAGAGAAAGCTATCGTTGAAAGAGGCATAGAGGTACATCGCTGTGGTTCTGTTAGATGTTCTTAAAGATAATTCTGCTGTTTAGGAAATCGCTCAGAAATTCAGAGATGGGGAACGAGCACCAAGTATTAGCGAACTCATTAGAAAGATTGATCTTTCAGAGGGGTAACTTTTTTTATGGCTGCAGGCTGGCTTTTAAGTAAAATTAGTGGTCAGTCTTTCAGCATATGAACTTTGTATTTAGAGAAATTGCGTCCATTGTCAAAGCAGCTAAAAGGAAAAGTCAATTCAAGAGGAAGAGGGAGGTCCAACGCATTTGTGGTGTTAGTTTGATAATCGGATAATATCTAGTCAACAATAATTCATCTAGTCTGTTTTTATGTTCAGGGTATTAAAAGGATCAGAAGGGGCACGAGTCTGCTTCCTGATTCCGTATGGGAGAGAACGGAGTTCACTGAAAATGAAACTGAGGTGAAGATCAAAGAAATTTTCCTTGGAACTTCATATTAATCTCCTTGTCCTTTTTGCGTAATGCTACCATTTATTACGGATAAAAAAAATTTTCAATTTGTCTTTGAATGGTTTTTGTTCAGGAAGAACGTCTAATGTGTATGACCGAAGCGTTGTGCCATGCCGTTCGCAAATACGACTTACACGAGTGGGGCAGCAGATTCTTCTTGAGCCACGATCGCCCAGAAACCATCGTCCATGACTATGTAACAAATGTAAGCACGGAGATTGGGTGTGTCGAGCACTAGAAATGATCTATGAATTCCAGATGCTAAACGATAAATGTGATGAAGTGGCAACGAGTTCAAGGGAATGTGCGAACGCTCCAGCAGATGCGACAATACCTCCTACGTTTACCTCAGCCTCGGCTTATCGCGTTTTCGAGGTTGTCCTGGACCACCTTTTTAAGCAGGAAGAATCTAACGTTTCTGTGGTTGCAGCGCGTTCGCCCATCGCTTACTGCTAGAGCGGCGAGATATTTCTGTC